TGTTCGATGTGTACATGGTATGTTAAATTCAGCACCCACAACTGCTGAAAATAAGCGAACGAATCCGCAACAAAAGGTTTTGACGGAAGCTTTCTTTCTTGGCGAGGCGAAATAAACACGTTAATTAACAGTTGATTCCGTCAATAGATAGGGACTATGGTTCGTAATGGAATTAATGATGTTCTGTCTAAAAGTAGAACGAATTTAATTTGCAGGTTTTAGCCGAATTTGATAGGACTACCTGACAAATAGATTAATGATTGAAACTGATCAAGGTTGATTCATATGGACACAAATCAGCACCTCGCACAGCCCCTAAAACTTCATGGGCTTCCCGAGATTCAAGCATGCCCATTCTGCACTCTGAGCAAACTAAATTCTGTCTGAGAGGAATTGTTTACGACAAAGTTAAGCAGACCTTCCTCCCATCAGGGATTTACTCACATCTGTGTTGTTGGAAACTCGGCGATCTGGTCGCTCTCTGGTAGCCCATGCTCCATTACAAAGAAGTACTTCAATCGTACTACACCATTTTTAAACTATTCCTGTGTCTGAAAAGGAAATATTAGCACTAGATGAAATTGGAAGCAACAGGTCGGTGTGTTGGTGTCAAGAACTTCCAAACAATGCTGCATAGCCGATATGCGATGTTTCAGAGATCATAAACAATTTTTGGCTTTAAACGGATTCGCAAGGAATATCCTTGTCCATTCCGTTAACTATTCTCAACAAATGACCACTATTTATCAGGGATGCGCCTTATCGCATAAGTTCCAAATCAGGTCAAGGTTTCCTTGAGCCGATCGGTTCCTTGTCACTAAAAGACTTCAAGAAGTAGGACGAAGATAGCTTGAATGCATCAGCACCAAACAAGAGCGAAATTTAACAGTTGTTTTCTAGATCCGTTCACCATCTTACTGGTTCCGCTCAAGCAGCAGTCAGAGAGACTATGCAAGGCTGCAAGACATTAGTGGACACTTCCGAGAAGTATGGTCTATCGAGTTGACTGTTTTATATTGCCAAAGATGCTTTTGTGCGACTTAATGTCATACCACGAAAAGTTCGGCATCAGATAGTGGGAAAACTGCATTGAGATGATGAAACCCATCTCCCGAAGCAATGCACATATTTTCTTCATCTACATGAGCACGAAAGAATTAGACCATAGATGCAGGAAGTGCCCGGTGGCAGCGTTATCCCCAATAAAGTCCCCATTTTCATTTGCTCACTCCGAAATTTACAAGATTTGTCTGGTCGAGTTGAATTAGTGGTGATGCTGATCGTTGTCAAAATGGCCAGAGGTGTTTGTGTCCACCAGAGCTTTGACTTCAGAAGCAATCAGTTCAGCATCGGTGTAGCTCGTGCTGTAATCGGCGATCTAACAGCCTGGCTGAACATTTGTCGACACGTTTGAACGACGGCCTACGGAGCTGGGAAAAGGAGGATGTATCAAACGAATCATCAAAACGTGTACAAAGTTTGCAGTCATACTAAATGATGTGGTGTGCAGTCAGCCATCAGGCGGGCTGTTCTTAAAAGCCGCAGTTATTCATCCAAGTGTGTGTTGCCCAAAAACGTAAATTTCAGGATAAATCTCCACACTATCATCACCCGCGTATGTAAAAGCGATTGATGAAATAATAGTGTAACGCAGCAAATTCGTATCACGGGACGTAAATTCGGCTGAAGTGGTAAGCGGGACGCAGCCTGTCAGTCAATTTTGCATCCAATGGTAATCAAACTGTAGGCTCTCGTGTCGTGTTATATTCATCTGCGTTTTGAATGAATATCTTACTGAGCACACCTTCTAGACGGAACGACTTCCTATCTCTTAGTTACCGAAATGCGCGCCCTCTCTATCGACCGATGACGAAACATAATGTTATTATTTTTCATTTCAAATTATAGGGAGATTAGATTTAACATTCAGAAAACAATTCTCTTAAGGACACAAATTCAACGCTGAGTTCTCACGTATTATTAATAGTTTCTATTACCCGTGCATTTTGCCTCTGTACCTGGGTCCTTTACAGCAGTGATTTTCTTGCTACATCAGGGGTACATCCAGCTCTTGGCCTGCAAAATCGCACCCGGACATCCTACACTAGTCTGGCTGGGTAACAAATCTCTGTAAATCAAGGTTCCTTTCCTGGGAAAAGTGGACTGGACTGTTTTATACCATCTAATAAACCTCATTCTACGTTTGGTTGAAATCCCGTCCCTACTCTCGCCAACCGCCCTATCGACAATGCTGACATTTCTTCAGTCTTTAATACCATTTAATAAGGTCAGAAATTCAGTCCTGAGGCTCTGTTGATTATGCAATTTAGCGCAATCCTTTATTCGCAAAAGGACATACGTCAGGTACTAATCCACTCTGATGGCCTCAATCACAAACACTAAGTGTTGGCGCGACTGCTTCAACGATGACGAAACACAATACGCAGTTTACCCACATTACCAGCTTCAGCCACGCCACTCAAGCAATGTAGACAGCGGTTAGACGTGCATGCTCAGTGTCCCGGATGCGTCCACCAGGGTATTCCACAGCTTCCAAGGTTGTGGACGTAAACTGGTTACTGAACAATTGGTTGCTCAACAATATGGCTATGCAGTCGCTGAACGGTTTTTTACTGAATTCACAGTGTTCTGGGTTCACCCAAGCGAGCCGGTGCCATCTTGTTTTGCCTTCCCAGCAATAACCACCAAGTACGCCTGCTTAAATTGCGTTCCACGCGCCAGTGCTATTCAGCCACATTGAGATAATGTGTGATGATTGGTTTGATTGTACAGGCATATCTCGGTTTTCGGTCCCAGTTCATTCCCTCGTCTCTTCCATATTTTCCGTGTGTACCACACACACTCTGACTTCATCTCGTTTCTTTTTCTACGTAATAAGAATCAACAACCCTCATGGAGGGTAACCGGGACGGCTTAACACCCAGGTTTCTACTTTAGTTAAAGCAACTATTTCAAACTTGGGGGTTATTATTGTAGTAAGAATCGGTACTCACGGTCAAGAGCTAACAGTTGTTCTATCCTTTGATTCGACATAATTATTCCAGTCAACTTCACTAGACATCTCATGCAGAACTAATCCACGAAAGTCAATGTTATACACATCTCGACGCTACCTTGATGACACAAGTGAATTTACCAGTACCCTGGGTAGAGAACCTACCTCAAGAGGCCGGAAACCGACAAAATGTTAAGGAACGGACTTTAACACATAAAAATGTTCTTAAAGGGAGCCTCCTCCTTGTTGGAAACGAGTGATGCAGTAATGCGAGATACCTAGGAATCTAAGAGTTGCAGTTGCCAACAAATTTTCCCATTGGGAATTATGAATTCGGATAGATAATTGACTGAAAACAATCTAATTACACCTAGTTTTGCCCATATTGGTCAATTTTCCCCACTTCATTTCCCCTAGGGGCTTTCTGGCAAAGATTTGTTGGGCATGATTAGGTTTCACCCGTGCTGGTTACAGGAATGAACTCCTAATTTCGTGCAACGGTACCCATCTACGAAGTAGTTGGCTCCTCTCGATTGAAAGGATTCTAAAGCGCCTGTTTGTACACGATCCCTTTAGATCCGGATATAAATCCATGATTAGGTGTTTACTTTATAAAGCCTACGAAGTGGTAGGTTTATTCTCACTTTGCAGTTCCATGTGGCTTATTTATTCCCATTTGCAGTAACCAAGGTTGGCCTTCGTAGAATTGAGATTAAATTCAAGCGAGTTTCCTCCAGAGAGAAAGAAGACTGGCCAACACAATCAAGTATCTAATACCGCTGATTTCTAACTTCCAATCGTAAACGCTATTCAAATTTTTATAAAGGAGGCTACTCACAAGATTGTTGAAAATTCTTCGACAGCCCACGACCGGTTTTGCCCTTCTTGGGGCTCATCAAGTAGGCGCAGTCCCCGAGTTTCCGTCAACCTAATGATCTACTTGAATCCAAATTGCACTGTTTTCGAGAAATACACTCATTTGCAAATCAATGTGGTTTTCACGACAGACTCGTTTACGGTATTCTGCAACTGAAAGTGCTACACACAGGCCGCCTCATGTTTCAGTTGGCACGATATTCGAGATATCGCAGTATATTTTCATAAAGGGAACTACTCACAAGATTGCTGAAAACTCTTCGGCACCCTAAGACCGGTTTCGCCATTCTTGGGTCGAGAGATTCAGTTGCGTCTCTCGTGAGAACCAAATTGATTTGCAGCTCATACTTGTGCTCCATGTTAGCAGAAAAGTTAAGTGTACCGAATACAGGCCTTTAAGAGCCCTCAGATTTAATTTTCAAAACAAAAGTCCCCACTCTGAGTGAAAATAGTTTTATTAAACGTGAAATTTGTGCAAAAATGTAGGAAATGTTTTATTATATCACAATGCATATGTGATTCCCAACCAAGAAGAGGATAAAATTAAAGTTGTTCGCATCACCCCACTAGCTTCGTGTTTATTCGTGTTTGAATAAAGTCGGATGACATTGAACACATCAAATTTGCATAATCGTGCCACCAAAACAGGTGTTCGCAGAAGAATCAAGGTCGGCGTAAAAGAATCACAACAAATTTGCCTATGAGTAGACAGTCTGGTCCATTAGCGACCAGTCGAATTTAAAACAACGGGTTGAGTAGAACTATAAGATAAAGTGGCTCTGGGAGCGCAGGTAACAAGGGTTTAGTGGTCGAACAATCATGCGAGTTCAGCACACACTACTCCTGCTCACCACTGCATTCACGTTGGCCAGTTCTGAGATTGTGGCATATACAGACTGTGGTGAGTGGATTCATAGCTCCAGATGACTATAGCCAATCTGTTGTTAGTATACCAATTCTGGGTTATGTTGATAAAAATCGCTGCACTTCTCTGCTCGTTTGAAGCCACTCGAGTAATATTCATAATTGATCATGTCGTGCTCAAACTAGCAAAACGCGTTCCAACAGCGAAAAAGGCATTATCATACATATTGCTAACTTCTTACAGGCTCCAAACTCACAATCTCGTCAGTCAGCGTGGAACCATGCTCCACGACACCGTGTGTTCTGAAAAGGGGGGGTTCCGCTACGATTAGCATCGTGTTCCAAGCAAGTGAGTCAACCAAACATTTGTCAAGATTTCCCCATCTCTCACTATGCAAACCAATATTGACCATTAAATGAACCGACATTGAGGTTTCATATTTTTATTAGAGTCACTTTCATGTCAGAATCGATGAAATTTGTTCTGACTGACATGATTATGCAGTGGATGATTTGGCGTTCAAACCAGCGGGACACATTAATTTATTGGCCGATTACCCGATCGGATTTGACTGACAATTAGGATTTTTAGATCAGTGCAGGCGTTCGTGCCTATCTTGTGCGAGAGGAACGGCATCCAGCTTGTTCGATTCAGATTAGACATTACCATGTGAGACAACACTTCTTGCTGATTGCCTGAATACCAAAGGCCATAGAGGATCACTGATGCCCTCGAGCTATTGGCAATCAATTATCTGCTTGTCCACTGATGTTGCGATCTACATACACTGTTTTGGTCTGTAGATGACACTGCTGGACTTCCTGGAGACGCTTTAGTCCAAGGTATCAAATGGGGAATACCGTTCTCTTTCAACCTGGATAGTCCTCAGATCTGTGGAGACGTCCAACCGAGTTGTCCACTTGAATCCGGACAATGGTACACATACACCAAAACGATATCCATCTCTTCCTGGTATCCGGCGGTGAGTCTTAGCAATTTCCCCGTGCGTAGTTGCTATAGACATGCTTGAAAAGTCGGTATACAGCTTGTCATGAATATTCAGCTGCATGAAATTATCCACATACAAACGAACAAACAAAGTCCCAGAGATGATCGAAACCAACTCTCCATATTCTATTCTTCAGATCTACGCTACCGTTCGCTGGAGGCTGAAGAACACAAATGGCGATTCGATGGTCTGTGTGGAGTTCCCAGTCGAGTTGGCTTAGTGAGCTGCCTTACGAATGCTGAAATTCCGCGTTACGCACCAGTTTGATTTCACTTGCTCTGCTTGTCGTGTACCAGTGTCTCTCTTACAGCCTTCTGGACGTTTTAGAATTCCGCTGCTCGAATACAGTGTGTTTGCCATCTTTAAGCATGCTCTTTTGATTTCACTGCTTGATTCATGAGTGAAGAGTAACTTTTTGCAACGCGCTATTCTGGTGCGCGCATTTGCCCTTAAGCAAATTACTGACAGTCCACCTGAGCTGTCGTTTCGAGAGAAAACAAACATGTCGAAAAAATGCAGAAAACTTAGAGGAGAATCAAAAGTTAGGCCGGAACAAATTTGTTCATATCAGATCAGATAATAATCAGGAAACTCGGGGACTGCGCCTACTTGATGAGCCCCGAGAAGGGCTGTGAAATAGTTTTCAGCAACCTTGTGAGTAGTTTCCTTTATGAAAATAATCAGGAATGTTTTTGGCATTCGTCTGAGATGTTCATATTAGAACTGCGCCATCGATCGATTAACGCAAGTTCACTATTTCGGTGCAGGTGAGTAGATCGATTCAAACCAAAAGTGGCAAGAAATACACTATCCTTTACGCATCAAACTAGATGTGCTTATAGAGCAAACAAATACAACAGAGTAAAACTTTTATGCCTAAAAAGCAATTGGAGTCAGAGCTTTTGAAGACAAGAAAGAACTCCAAATGTTGGGAGAAGATTGGCGCCATGATGCGGCCTGTATTCTCTATAAAAGTTTGCCCTGTAATCGAAATACCCAAATTCTGAAGTATGAAGCGCTCCAATTACGCATTCACGCAAAAAATGCGATCCCGTTTGGTCATTGAACTGGATTGGAACTAAGGCAGTGTGAACCAAATTTGACGGTCTTGTTTCAGATTTGTGGTTCCCAATAGTTTCACTCAGCGCTGATTCAAACAGCTCTCGATCTACAAACACAAGTTTGTCTGATGAAATATATCCTTCACTCTAGAGTTGTTGATGCAGTTGAACACATCTGTCTGATCTACTTCAGTTCTGTTGGAAGTTATACGCCGTGGGCCACCAGTGACTCAGGTTTATTGGAAACTCACAACTAATCTAGCAACCTGGTCATGGGGTATTTCAAGGCTGATGAACTGTTTTTTATGAATAAACAAGGATGCATTTAAAACGGATTAACCAATAAGTCCTGTCAAGTTTGTATTCGCATCTACAACTTGCGGCACAAAATCATTAGTTTTACCATGAAAACGTCTGCAACGAAACCGCGCTTCCTCTGGTGCGAAAACCAACAGGCCATTTTGCTAAATTTGCATGCTTCAGCTTCTAGTCGCCTACCGCGTTTTGCAGTGAACCTAGTAAGCAATTACGTTACTTTGTGCAGTATTTGAAATGGATCCTTTACAGGACCAACTGTAAATGCACTTGCGACTAAAGCAGAAGTATGCAAACATATGGCTCTTGTCTTTGTGCTTTTAACGATAAAATGATCCAGAAAGACAAAATTATGTCTGGTCGTTATTTTATGAGTTATGTAGACAGAAAGCAAGATAGAATTTAACGTAATTTACAGAAGCAATGGAGATCAATAAAACTGGAGCCACATTAAATTATGTTGTACCGATGGGCTTACGTTCAAATTACGGAGGAATGCCACACTTTTCGGTTGAACATTTGTTTATGCTCAGTTTGTTTGAACTGCCGGTTTTCTGTATACGCAAAAGATTCACACCGGATACGTAGTTCAAAGTTGAAATGATCAACCCAGCAGTCAGTAAGACCACCACAAGCCATACAGTTAGCGAGACCAATTAAACGGTGCGAAGTCGGTGGGTGGTCAAGAGTGGTCCTGCTACATATAACATCATACGACATGACTTGTGAGTCAGAGGGTGAGATGAAATCGGCGGCAAGTCACCAGCAGACAACAACAACGTAATGGTGCGGAACTGTAAATCACGCAGTGTCTAATTCAGTAAACCAACAAAGGACTTGTCCATCAGTATCGACGTAAAATTTTTATGTATTTTCATCTTGAGCATAACTGGAGCGCACTATTCGGGTTACTGTCCTTGAGTCAAAAGTTAGCTTCAGTATGTTCAGCTGTATTGCCGGATTACGGCTAAATCAATGGGGCCGTTCAAACCATAGTTCTCTCTCATCAATCCCGCTACCTTCGCTATTCTCCTGCCCGTGTTACTTTCGTTCCATACCCAGAAAGTTTAGGCTAATATTCTCACCGTGGCTTATGCGACCAGGATATTAGGTTGTTGAATATTACTTTAATCCATATTAGTAGATAGCGGATAAAATTCCAGTCAAGGCCACCAGAAGAACTGTAGTTTCACTAAATATAGCATGTTAAAGTGTCCTAAGATCTTCGTGGTGAACAGGAATTACGTAAATTTTGTTTGTGTCCAGTTATGATTGATACTTAGCACACACGGGCCCTCCGGCGAACAAAATTGATTATGAGCGATGTTAACGTTTTTACGGGTTCCGAATTTTGCAGAATAGTATCAAAACTGTTAGAAGTGACTTTCTGCAAAGTGCCACGCCATATCTACTCACAGAAAACATTCTCACTAACATCTGGGCATTTGACGCTTTAGATAGAAAGTAGGCTGATTTCCGATCGGCTTACAAAACAGTACCAAATAACTAAAAACAAAAAAGTCACGACTGTGTAATCGTACACCTATCTTCGGTTTGATTGGGCCTAAAAGACTTTCGTGAGAAACAACCTGTCCGGTTACCACTTTCATTTCCATTTTGGCGAGTCGCTGATGCATCACATCAGCGTAAGTAATATTCGTGCCACATTTGTGGATTTTAGTCCCCGATTATCAAGTATCTTCTCCTCCTTGTGTTCATGGACTTTTTGATCCCTTGACTATGCATACAGGCTCACCAAAGCAGTTAGTTTCAGGAAGTTGCCTGGAACACCCGGTTGACATCGCCACATGTAAGTATTCACTTACAGATTAGAAACTACCTGCAGTCTTTGTCATTTTATTGATACTGTATCACCGAGTGTGACTTGCTTCTACACCTCTTCCTTTGATGACTGATAAACAGGGTTTATACTGGCGTCTAGAAGACAAGAAATAAGAAACCGATGAAAACCTGACTTTCTTTGACGATCTCCTTACGATATTCCCAATCGGACAACTACAGACAGAAGCCTACAGAAAGGCGATGCATACAGAACAACTACTCAGCTGTAACGACTACTTAGACGCACTACAAGACTGCTGAGACAAAAGCCAAAGACAAGGAGTACTTTTTACAAAACATCTCAGAGAGATACCACAGAAATATCATCTGGTAGATTCAACCCGACAAACTCGTTACTCCTGTAGAAGGCAAGCAGATTACATTTCCGTATATCGTGAACATTTGAAAAATAACTGCACGTTTGTTATACGATAATTCAACGCAACCGCAGCCCACAGAATTACCATAATCTTAAGAAAGGTACGGTCAAGCCCAAGTAAAAGGTTGGACACGATGATGATGCCTGACTTCGTATGCAACATTCAGTAGGGCGAATGTGGCACACGAAACTTGGGACAAAACGGAAAGAAACTCTCTGTCAGAATAAATGAAGGCGAATCGGTACCAAAAGACGGCTGATTTTCACTTGGCTGCACAAAGATCAAGAAGCATACACATTCGACTAAAGCAACTTTTACATATTAACTCAAAAAGTATCAAGGAAAGGACGTGAATTCTTGCAAGCTCAGTACAGTGGTGAAAAAGCCATCAATCAGCATATTAAAATCGATCCAGTCTATCGACCACTAACAGGAAAGGAACTAGACACAATGAACAAAAGGCCGCGGAAACAGCACAACCGAGAGATTCAGTTAGGTTCCAGGTGAGTCTCACAAAACCAAATTTGTTTGCAAATGAGTGCAACTAGTTTCAAGTAGAATGTATGATTGACGAAAACTCGGGGACTGCGCCTACCTGACGAGCCCCAAGAAGGACGAAACTGTTAGCAGGCTGTCGAAGAATATACAACAACCCTATGAGTAGTGCATTACGAATATACACGTATCGCGACATCGCAAATATCGTGGCGACTGAAATATGAGGCGGCATGGTGCAGCACATCCAGTTACCTGGTGACATCACAAACGAGAGATTCAGCTCGGTTCCAGGTGTCTCTCGCCAAACCAAATTTGTTTGCAAACGAGTTTATTTCGCTAACAACGGTGACTTACAGAGAATAAGCAGGCAACCCAAAATGTACGGAATTAACCAACTTTCTCGAACTGGAATTGAAGCAGTAAATCGAAAAATGAACTAGGGTGACTCCGCAGAGTTAGCTAGATATTGACGGATAATGGGAACCGAATACGCCAACAAAAGGGGAAATCGAAATATATAAAACAGAAGAGGGAAACCTCTCAGTCCAACATAAGAACACAAGAGTGCGATGCAAACTGAGAATCCTTCGAAAGCGCATGCAGATAGGTGAGGACGGTGTAATCACTCATTCATACACTGATGGTATCTCCTCGATTGGGACAGAAGGGATTTTGAAGCCAAACTTAAGCCCAGGGAACAGATCAAGCTCTGACTGGTCAACGACCAGTTTGTCAGACAACTGTGTTGGGAGCACAAGCCGCTGATTAGACCGTTAGGCATCTAACGGTGACTGACGTTTCGGGAATGCTCAGGCGTTTTTTAAGAACAGTGTCTGTCCGACACTGGTAGATCGTATAGCTGTTCCCCTCGTGGTGATGTGCCTCTTACCAGTGGTCTGCTATTGACGCATAGATTGTGAGTAAATGTCGAAGAAACCGGGTCATGCTAGCAAGTCCAGTCAAACCATTAAGCCAAAACCTTGTGGTTAACCTTACCAGCCACCTTGTAATTGATCGACATTTCAAAAACCAGGGGTCTCAAGGGTCCTAACTGGTCATCATTAAATATGTGTAATGCTGGGTATATTAGCCGTACCCTGGGATGTCTTTTTAACATCCTGTGTACATTATCTGTCTGACCTTTGATCTTCAGTTAGATTTCTTGCAGAAGCTCAGACAATCTAGATTAGTCTGCACATTCCGCTTTTGTGCAGACGAAAACGGTTCGCCCAGAATCTCGCACTGCTTAAGCCAGTTGGAAAAAAATACTCTCGAGGCCATCCGGGACAACTTAGCCGGTGGAGGAGTAAATTTCGGGTTTTCTACACACTGACCACTATCGACGGTTTCGTCACTTACGTACACGTTAGTAGTCACAAAGAACAAAGGTTGATGGAAACCCAAGTGGCTTCGTATTCGTAAATGGAGAGCAACACACGCGTGGTATCTGAGTGAATGGGGTTGTAACAGCTGCTTTATCTGGACCGGATAATTGCGTCAGGACGTTAAGGCATAAGACTCTAGATGGTTCAGTTACCACAGATATATGGAATGCATGCATGTTATAAGAGGTAGGTATGCCATAGGCGCTCGGTCACCGTAGAGAATATGAAGGACTGTGGGAGTTTTCTGGGGTTAGAATCACTTGAACCATTTTCTCTATCACTGTTGCTGGTGTCCGGTACTGATTTGGGGTAGCTGTGGTGAGGCTCGGTCGAACACTACCCCCGCTTGAACCCATTGTTTCCTGCGTCCAACTTATTTATTCGATATTCATCCACAACCCCTAATGAACTTAATATATCCAATCAATTCTGACGTAATTTCCCCGCCCGCATTTTGACCACTTGCGTTACCGCGTGCTGTGAGCAAACATTTTTGCGGATTTGCCGTTCTGACCGGGCTTCTTTGGACTTGCTGCAACATTTAGACGGAAGTCCTCATAATGTGAGGTTTGTGTTCCTTTCGCATACACATTTTGTACATGGTACAGCATTTGGTTGATAAATCTCAAGACATCATAAATCTTGGCTTGTGATTTCGCGCGTCACTCAACTGGGCTTTCAGGAATCCCGAGAGATATGATCACGGATGACCTAAGCACCTCAGAATCAGCAAAGTAGTCAGTCGAATATGATGAGCACATACGCCGCAGCCCCGACCAGTCATTGCTTTAAGCAACATACACAATAAACCATTCAACTTCCTGGGTGAAAACGTTTTTTCAAGAAATAACAAGTGAAACGAATGTGAAACCGGTTTAGTTATTTTACATACGAACAAATGGCGCCCACTGGCCTGTACAGAAAAACCAGGCTATTGCAATAAAGCCAAAGCACTACTCAAATTTAAGACTTGATCGTGATCAACACAATGATCACAACACAATCTTGCAATCATGAACAGCAAAACCCAAGGTAATCATGCATCCAATCGACAAACATACAATAGTCCAGTGTGCATAAGTACGTCGAATGAACAAAAGGAGGCAAACAAGATACTCAGTCATGTCCTCCTGCAAGTAAAGGGTCCTGGAGAACAAAACCTGCCCACTAGAGCATCTCTAATGTGTGATGCCTCTGGAATTTCCTATCCATGTTTAAATGTCTTCAAATTAGTTGTCAGTGTTGTTTCAAAGTAGATGTGCGTGAGGAACACAGCGTGAAATATTTCACTTACGAATCTATAATGTTTGTGTAGGGTAAGGATCGGCAGATTTGTGGAACCACGTAAATCGCCAGAGGGTGGTGTTCCGTAAGGGAGTTATCTGTTCGGAGGGGTCCATCTTGAAGTCAGTGGAGTAGTTCATTTACGTAAATATAATCACAAGATTCTCGATACAAGCACCAACTTATGAAGAGCTAATGTTTATGTCGACAACAAAACTCCAGGAAAGCTCAGGAATTCCATTGAAATTCAATAAACGTGTTCGATGTCAATTGCTGAATCTTAAAGACTCTCTGACATAAGATTCGGCGTTCTGTTGGTCCACACACTGCAAGCGGTTTAGTTTCTCTCTATCCTGAAATGCCGGGAGTGTTACACGAACGAAATCAAAGTAGAACATGGGGTTTAGCTTTCGTTAGTTCCAGTCAGGTCAGATAGTAACGGTGCGCATTGAGCGTCAACGTGCTGCCCAAGTACCTACCTGATACACCATCTTAGGAGCAATGAAAACAAGACGTTTACCCTCAGACTTCGTTTGACAGGTTGGATATCAGCCTCAGAATTAGCAAGTTCTCCGTTTCTGGGAGGTCATCCAAATAACTCAGGTGGTTTGTTTTGAGCAATCGGTTCTTGGTTCACCCCGAGATGCACAAGATCGACACAGAAAAGCGTGCCCGGCCAGGACACTAAGTAACCGGCAGTAGAGTGAAGGGATTTCGGTGCTGATATTCTCGCTACATTCAGGTAGAAATGACGAAAATCTTCACTGTGTTTAGTGAGCGCGTCATCCAAAGACCAGATCATTAGGCAAATAGCTCCAGAAAAGTGGAGGGAGACCAATGGGTTTTTTATCCCATTGACTGCTGCACCAGAGAAATAATTTTTCTGTTGCATATACTTGCATTTCAGAGCGATATTTTCTGTTGAAAACCGATTGTGAATGCATCAAGTTGGCAAACATTATTGGTAAATTTGCTTAAGAATATGTTTGATCAAAAAAGCGGTTCCTCAGCCATGAGAAGTTCCGTGACCACTTTGCTAGATCATTTGCGATCCACCAACGAATGCAAGCCACTTTTTCCACTTCAGATGGGTTTTCGAATACGATACAGAATTTGCATAGCCCCTGGTTTGATTGTTGGTAAACAATGGAAACGTTTACTTCACACTTGACCGGCTCCGAATATTTTCTAGGGCGGTACATGGAATGACTTCTCCCGTTCAACTCGCACTCAAACTAATCTTGGGATCGTCAGTTATGTTTGTTGATTCGGCAGTGTGGAAAACTGCTTAGCGAGAAATTGGATTTTATTCAGCCCATACCGTGCAAAGAGATTCCCAGAGTGAATCATGTGATGGTATAAAATGAATGGATGAGTGCATACGTACGCGGACGAGTTCAGCTGGTAGAACCCACCTTCGCACCCTCGAATCACACCGAAGCCTTACGTGACTATATTACAGTACTTTGCCGGACGACCACCGAAGACATCTCATGATTATGTTATGTGATTTAATCTGCTCTGGCTTATAAAGTGAGTGTCACAAATCAAATTTTCTACCTCGTGTCAACTTTAAGTTGTCATCTGAGATTGCATTGCTGTCTCTCGTTTGTCTTGAAACGGCAATCCGGACAGACAGCATGTGTTTTGTCCTGATGGCAAATGCGCACGAAAACGTGACAGAAACTCTCAAGTAATTTGAAGCACAATCCATCCCCGAACCCACCAATTAACCAGGAACATCACCTTTAATGATGGAGAACATGTATTTCAGCAATCGAGCAGAACAAGAGAAAGCACACTGGTGCATAACACGATGTTTCAGGATTCAGACCAAGCGGCACACTAAGCCAGCTCAGCTGGAAACTCGATACAGACCATCGAATCACCGTTTGTGTTCTTCAGCCTCCAGCGAACTGTACCGTACACCTGAGGGATTGAATAGGAAACCAAATAGAAATTTCAGTGTGGGTAGTTGCCTTCAAGAGTTTTTGGGACTTTGTTTGTTTGTTTGTTTTTTATATGGATAATGTCGCGTATGGGAATAGTCATGACAGGCTGTGTACTGACTTTACAAGCATATCTATTGTACATAATCACCGTGAAACGCGTAAGACTCACCGCTGGATACCACGATGCGATTAATACGGTTTTGGTGTATGTGTACCGTCGTTGTGATCGGAGTGGACAGCGCGGTCGGATGTCCTCACATATCTGCGTAGAATCCAGTTCGAAAGGGAAAGTGAATCCCCATTTGATTCCTTGCACTTGAGCGTCCCCAGGAAGTTCAGGATTCTTGTCTATAGACAAAAACGGTGTATGTAGGTCACATTGACAATGAACAAGCAGACAATATTGGTTATCAGTAGCCGGTGGGTATTAGTGTTCTTCCATTGCTGTAGGTGTTCAGACAATCTAAGAGAAGTGTTTTCCCACATCGAGGCGTCTAACCTGAAACTGATGAACTCAACTCACATCGGATCATTGAAGTCCGCCAATTTTGGTAATACGGTGTACAGGTTTTAACGCCCAGTAAACCAATATGTACTCACGTCAGTCAAACCAACGTTGACTGATCGCTGCAGAGGATAAACTTCAACCAAATATCAAAACACATTATCTGTTCACTGCATTGACGGATAGGCATTTGGATATTTGCAAACTACTGAATAACTCGGGGTTTGCGCTCACCTGTTCGGAACACGATGCGTATCGTAGCGGAGCCCCCTCTCTTCAGAGCACACGGTGTCGTGGGGCACGGTTCCACGCTGACTGAATTGACTGTGAGTTTGGAGCCTGTAAGAAGTTAGTAATATGTATGTGAATGGCCTCTCACTGTTGGAACGGATGTTGTTAGTTTGAGCACGACGTGATCAAGTATGAATATTATTCGAGTGACTTCAAAAGAGCAGAAAAGTGCAACGAATTTTCCTGATGAAAACTAGAGCTAGTATGCTGATGTCGGATTGGCTATAGTCATCAGGAGCTATGAAACCACTCACCACAGTCTGTATATGCCACAATCTCAGCACTGGCCAACGTGAATGCAGTGGTGAGCAGGAGGAGTGTGTGCTGAGCTCGCATGATTGTTCGACCACTAAACCCTTGTTAATTGCATTCCCAGAGCCACTTTATCTTATAGCTCTACTCAACCCGTTGTTGTAATTCCGATTGGTCGCTAATGCACCAGCCTGTTTACTCGAGACAGCCTCGTAATATTTTGCAGGCAAATTTGTCGTGATTCGTGCTCGCCAGCCTTGAGTTTAGTGGGAACATCTGTTTAGATGGTACGATTATGCAAATCCGGTTTCGCGTTCACTTCTACGGAAACAAATATTCAACGACTAAACATGACACATTAGTGGGGCTCAGGGGCAATATGAGATTTCACGCCTCTCTGGGCTGCAAGCACCGGTGTTTCAATCATTTAAGGCGTTTGAATTAACATGGCTCGATGTAGTCCCGGGTAACGTGTGGTGCTGAGGTATCAGGGACAGAGGCGAAATGCACGGATAATAGAATCGAATAATAATGCGTGAGAAACCTGCGTTCAAATAGCGTCCTTACGAGCATTTCATGATACTTTCACAGTGGTTAAGCTACTCGCCGTACAGTTTGGATGAAAAACAAAAAGCAACAATTAAATAACAATAATAACAATGCGTCTCATTATTGGTCGCCCATTGCAGCACGCGCTAAACCGATGCTGAACTGCATGCGAAGCAAAAAATGGAGCACCCTCACGCCATGTAAACTGAATTCCACTATCCGTGACAAGAAGCTCCGGATATGCATACTGTGTGTGTGGAAAGTCAAAAATGATAATCGCTTCTAAAGTCAATGCTCGGATTAACACAAACACCTCTGACCATTTTGACAACGATCAGCATCACCACCTATTCAACTCGACTAGCTGAATCTCGTTCACCTCGGAGTGCGCAAATAAAAATCGCGAATTCACTGTGGATAAAGCTATCACCAGGAACTTCCTGCAGCTATGGGCAAATTCTTTCGTGCTCATGTAGATGGGGGGCACATGTGCATTGCTTCGATAGATGGGTTTCATCATCTCAATGCAGTTTTCCCAATGTTTGATGCCGAATTTTGCGTGGTCCGATCACAAGGTCACACAAAATTAAAGAATGACCCATTATTTGTAAAGCATCTTTGGGGCATAAAAAAATCACCCCGATAGACCATGCTTTTCGAAAGTGTCCACCAATGTCTCGCAGCCTTGCGTAGTCCCCCTGACAGCTGCTTCAGCGGAAATAGTAAGATGGTGAGCGGGTCTAAAAAACAATTTTTAAATTTTGCTCTTGGTTGGTGCTGATGTATCCATGGTGTCCTTGTTTAATTTCTTCATGTCCTTTGGTGGCACTGAACCGATCGGCTCAACCAAGTTATTCAAAAAGGTGTACATCCTAATCAATAGTGGCCATTTGTTGAGGATACTTAATGGCGTAGACAAGGATAGCCCCTGCGGACCTGTTTGGAGCCAGCAATTGTTTATGTTCTCTGGAACATCGTATATCGGCTATGCAGCATTGTGTGAAAGTTCTTGAAACAAACACCCCGAGCTGTTGCTTCCAAGTCCATCTGGTTCCAGTGTTTCTTCTTAACTAATGGTAAAGAACACGAATAGTTTAGACAGTGATGTAGCATGATCCCAATACTTCCTCTTACTAAGGAAAGAAAGCTTTCGGCAAAATGTCTGGTAAGGATTCAGTTCGTTTAGAATGGTTAAATCACCATATCCTGTACACATCCAAACGATGTTTAAATATTCGGCGCCCAGGCTCATGCTGTGTGCATTTACTGAACTCCACACTTCACACACTTTCATCAACGAGCTGGATCAAATTCTCATTATCGGGTTACATGAAATGCAACCGCGAAATTTAGCAGAGTGGCAGTAGGCAACGTACTGTGGTATGAGCACCTAAGTTCATGGTGCGATTCGAGGGTGCGAAGGTGGGTTCTACCAGCTGAACTCGTTCGAGTACGTTTGCACTCATCCATTCATTATATGCCATCACATTGTTCACTCTGGGAATCTCTTTGCAAGCTATGGGTTGAATCAAATACAATTTCGTGCTAAGCAGTTTTCCACATTGCCGAATAAACAAACATAACTGACGATCTGAAAGTTAGATTGAGTGCGAGTTGAACGAGAGCAGTCATTCCATGTACTGTGCTAGAAAATTTTCAGATCCGGTCAATTGCGGATTAAACGCTTCTAATAATTACCAACAATCCAACCGGTGCCAATGTAATTTCTGTACCCTATTCGAAACTCCATCTGAAGTGGCAAAAATAGCTTGCGTCTGTTGATGTATCAGAATAATCTAGCGACTTGGTCACAGAACCTTTGATGACTGATGAACTGCTTTTCTGATCAAACACAGTATATTCTTAAGCAACTTAACCAATGAATTTTGTCAAGTTGATGCGCCCACACTGGGTTTCCAACAAAAAAAATTGTCACCCAGAAATGCAAGCATATGCAACAGAAAAATAATTTCCGCGCTGCAGCGGCAGTGCAACGAAAATCTTTCTTTCTCCCTCCACTTTTCTAGACCTATTTGCTTGATGATCTAGTCTTCCCATGATATGCGCACTGAATGTAGTAGGGCTTTCCGTCATTTCTACCTGAATGTAGTGATAATGTCAGCGCCGTAATCCCTCCACTCTACTGCCAGTTACGTAGTGTCTTGACCGGGCACGCTTTCCTGCGTCAATCTTGTGTAGCTCGAGGTTAACCAAGGACCAATCGCCAAGACAATCAAACCACCCGAGTTGTTTGGATGAAGTCCCGGAAACGGAGAACCCGTGAATAACCGGCTAGTATCCCACTGCAAGTAGTGACATCGACGGTTGTATCAGAACTGAATGTTTCATTGTTGGTGTTACGACCAGCTCTCCAACTAATCGGAAAGTTTTGGTTCATAGATTGTTCCTTTTTAAAAGAACACATTTAGGTCCGAGCACAACCTGTACTCGGTGTTAATTCAGAGGCAGTATTCTGTCAGACGAAGACTTATGTGATGTATCAAATAGGTACATGAGCAGCACAATGTCGCCAATGCGCATCGTTAACACCCGACCTAACTGGGGCTTACAACCGTGATCTTCAGCGTGGTAAACCCCAAGATCTACGTTGATTTCCCCAATGCTTCGTTCGTGTAACATTCTCGGTTATTCAGGATAGAGAGGAGGTGAACCGCACTCGGTGCGTGGACCAACAGAAAGTCGAATCTGATGTTAGAGAGTCTTTAAGATTCAGCAATTGACATCGAACACATTTATTGAATTTGTAGGAGACTGCTGTATGTTCCTGTAGTTCAATAGTGCCCAGAACAATGAACTCTTCATAAGTTGGCGCCTAATGTCCAACACCATCATCACTCACTTTATATATAAATCGTGAAAAACCAAAATCTGAGTTCCCTCTCCAGGGAATTTAAGAGCGACCTGTCCGAACTGGTAACACAACATGAGTGCGTATGTGATCACCCAACGGAAGTCCACTTTATCAAAAATAACATGAATTGATTCTAAATTACTTGTTTAGCACCACGCATCTCCTGACCGTTGCCCTACTTAATTATTATAGATTCGTATCTGTAACATCGTGAACAGATGTGTGGAAATCTCACGAAGCTTAACTGACAAGAAGAAAGTCGAAATGTTAGAGAGTCTTTAAGATTCAGCAATTGACATCGAACACATTTATTGAATTTGTAGGAGACTGCTGTATGTTCCTGTAGTTCAATAGTGCCCAGAACAATGAACTCTTCATAAGTTGGCGCCTAATGTCCAACACCATCATCACTCACTTTATATATAAATCGTGAAAAACCAAAATCTGAGTTCCCTCTCCAGGGAATTTAAGAGCGACCTGTCCGAACTGGTAACACAACATGAGTGCGTATGTGATCACCCAACGGAAGTCCACTTTATCAAAAATAACATGAATTGATTCTAAATTACTTGTTTAGCACCACGCATCTCCTGACCGTTGCCCTACTTAATTATTATAGATTCGTATCTGTAACATCGTGAACAGATGTGTGGAAATCTCACGAAGCTTAACTGACAAGAAATGAGAGAGATTGGGGACCGTGTCCTAAGGAAAGCGCAGACCTTGTAAATGAAGTTACCTCACTGTTACCTTAAGGATTGTTCTCATTCGTATGGACTAGGAATATGGGACGATACACCACCTCAACTCGGACCTGATCTCTGCATCTCGACTTTCCCAGTCTGGGCCTGAGCTTCTTGGCAGTATCCGAGCCCTCGTGCTTCCTTTGGGTACCATAGCAACTACACCCTGGATGGGTTTTACATCTGATCGATTATTATCAACTCGTACAAACTATTCCGTAGTTTGATGTATTTTGACGAAACATCATCTTCGTTCTTTCGGTTGGGTGCTTCAATTCTACTTCCATCCTACTGGGTTCTATAATTAGCAGAAGCATCTGACCGGTCCTTATGTGTTTGACCAATTAGACAGTGCAGTTCCGTGCCCCTATTTAACTGTTGCGAACGAGGATACGCAGTGAGTAGGTCGGGTCAATCGACCGATGGCAGGAAATACACTATCCATCTCGCGATACAAATACTCCTATCCGGTTTCGTAATGGAACGAACAATTTTGGGTTGGAACTTGAAAACTAACTTTGTTATTTTTGTTTTCCATTTGTGCTTCTCGACAGTTTCACCCAGCTGCGATTCAGATAGCTCTTGATATGCAAGCAGCAGTCAGTCTGTTAAAACACGTCTTTCACTCTAGAGTTGTTGGTGTATTTGAACTCATCCGCCCGATTTACAACGTTTCTGTTGGAACCTGTGCATCATTTTTTAAAGTCACTTAGATGGGCAACCCGTGACTTGGGTTTATTGGAAGCCCCAAGGTAAACATGGATGGTGAAATATTTTCATAAATAAACATGTATGGATTTAAATCAAGTTGACCAATAAGTGCTGTCAACTTAGTATTCCGATTCCCAATTTGCAACACAAAATCGGTCGCTTGTGAATGAAGACATTCGTAAGAGGCAGTTTCAGTACTGTACAGCTGC